AGGTACGTGCCGCAGAATAGGGTATGGTTTTTGAGGTTCTCGGGTATCTTTTTTGACCCTTTTGTTTCTGTGTCCCTGGTGTGGTCCTTAGATAGGGTAGCTTAATTGCATTATCTAATACTGGAGTGTGAAAACGCTCGCCTAATCGAACATTTTTTTAAAACTAGGCCTATTCTAGTATTTTATGCTTGATGCTATACATCCAATGTTACAGAGAAGAAATAAAGTTTTCCTTTTCATGCTATTAATAATTTTGTTTTTTCCTTGAATAGGGTGTCGTTTTTCGGCTTTCGGCCTTTAAAACGGTATCAGTTTTTGCTTTATTAGTCCTTAAATAGGGTTAGGGTTCACGAACCTTCGCGGCACACCCCTATCCAAAATTAGCGGGAGTGCCCCCCCCGGGAGTTTGTACGCTGGGTGATCGATTTCTCAAAGTCATCGAGGAGCTTTAGACTTGCTTGGTGGGGATCCTAACTGAATTTACTATTTAAAATTCCAATAACACACTATTCAGTCAACAGCTGATTTTATATATGTTTTGTCATTTTTTATTTGCTTACGTCGAACCTGAGCACACTATATAGGTCCAGCTGTCTGCTACTTATGGAAATTTTCAAGACATCCACACGTTTACAAATTTGGTCCCAGTCGCTCAAAACCTGGATAAGGCTATACACTGCTGGATAAATCTTAATCTAGCGGATAGCACAATTGGTTCCCGGCCTTAACAATTATCCCTGACTGGACAATGATTTATCAGGTGGATAGCGCTATCCATCGTTTCAGCAACAGGGCCACATCCGAGTCTTACATACATTACAAAATGTGTTAATAAACCTATTAACCTCTGTTCAGGAGCACCCAACGACTGTTTTCTGTAAATTATCTGTTCGGAGAAGCAAATATTAGCCTATTACTCGATGACCATTCCATCCGTGTACAATTTTCGAAGCTTATCTAAAAAATTCTCTTTTTTTCAACTTTCACACCCCAGGTTAGGCCATTTTTCGTAGGAAAAAGGAAACCTAAAATTTCCGGATTCAAAAATGTGATGGAGAGAGGAATCAATTTTTTGCGTATTGCGCTAAATTTCATCTAAAATTTCAGGGAAGATAATACTGAAGCCCCTGTAATTTCGAAAAGACTGATAAGTTCCCCTAGGATGACCGAACAGATCTCATAAATCTTATAGCGCCGTTTAGAATGTACTTCTTACTAGAAGTCTGAAAATACTCTGGATAGCCTAAAAAGGCCTTTCATGAATATTAATTTGGGAGGAAACAGTCGTTGGGCGCCCCTGTTTGTTTCGCGTCAAAGGTAGTAATTAGTAAAGTTGAACTGAGAACGAACTAATTGGCAAAGGTATCAGATGTGCTGGCTCTGAGTGACAGTCGTAGAGCTTTTCACCTGAAAAGTGTTTCCATGAATTTGGAAGGAAAACGTCGTTGGGCTCCCCTGTTTGTTTCGCGTCAAAGGTAGTAATTACTAGTAAAGTTGAACTAAACAGGTAACGAACTAATTGGCAAAGGTATCAGATGTGCTGGCCCTGAGTGACGACAGTCCTAGTGTTTCCCCCCAGAAAGGTACAATATGGGTGTTTGATCTAATGCGCGTCAAAGCTACATTTGCACAACCTTTAGCTATGTTTTACAACAACTTCGCTTTAATTTTTTTGCCGAATCAAAGTTGACAATCACGCAAAACAGAATTAGCAAATGATGTGAACAAGATTAATAGTGTTATGTCCAGGCAAATATACACCACACCGTAGCCTGCGAAGACATCCGTTTCTCCTCGCTCTTCGCCGATGGGGACGTTTCGCGAGGAGGAATTTGATTGCGTCATCAGTATGGAATTTCTGCCGCTGAGTCTCAGACGTTCCTCCTCGCGAAACGTCCCCGGCGGCGAAGAGCGAGGAGAAACGGATGTTTACGCAGGCTAACCACACCGTGAACAAGTAGATATATTGAACGCTGTCAAACGGAAGAAACTGAGGCGCGAAATACTTTTCAATATAACTTGATTCCTGACTGTTATTCAAGTAATTATAAGCGCTTGATCACGGCTGGCCCCGGGCACAAGAATCCCGCCAGCTACGCAGGATAGATCGCGGCGACCCTACGTTATTGGAGAAAAATGGAGTCGATTATTAGACTTGACTAGCTACGTTTGAATTTAAGAGGTCTTCCCTTTGTTTCTGCATGCCTGTATAAATAAAATCGCAGTAGGTACAAAGGAAAAACCCTTGAAACGCTCGGGCTATCCCAACATTGATGACAAAAAGACAAATTAAACACCTATACACCCGGTTTTGTAACCAAGGTGATGCTGATGTGCAATACGCGCCGGGAATCGAGATAGATACGTAACTATGCATTCTTTTTAAAGTTCAAGGGCCGTTAAACAAAATGTGAAAATTGGGGATTAAACAAATTGGGCACCTGCGTTTGCTTCTTTATTTTAAATCAATGTTACATTAATTTAGTGATTTATTTGTCAATGGCATCCTTGAGCCTGTTTGTCTTGTATGGTCTACCATGTCTTTCTTCTCTTCTCATTTCCGGTCAAACAGCGGTATGGTAGGAAATCGCAGCCTCCCGTAAATTTTTTTGAAGTTTACATCCATGTCTGGTCCTACAGTAAAATTAGAAAAAAGATATGCGATCGTTAATTACTGCGCAAGGCTTTTAAGGGAATGGCCCACTGCAATTCAGGAACTTCTTCCTCGTTCATCGGAAAAAGGTCTTTCTAGACGGCATGACCTGAAAAACTCTGCTTACCCGAAGTTGGAATTCTCCCCCTAAGTTTTTTAGTATTGCATCAAGCTTCACCATGATTTCATTCACGTTCTTTTGCAAATGGTCCACTTTTGCTTGAACTATAAATAAACAGGAATTAAACAGAATAAATCTTTAAAGCCTTGCAAAACACTCTCAGTCACAACTATCTAATCTACATCCCAGCCTTCGATGTGCTAAAGAGATTCATTTTTACCGAGAAAGGTGCATATTTATCAAAAAATGTAAAATTTTGTTCGCTTGATTGCTTGCTGTCCTGTGTCGATTAGCTTTCTTAGGAACTGACAGAGAGAATCTGAAGGATGAGTTTCCCCTTTAATTTCCAAGGATGCCGGCAGAGTACCGAGAAACAAAACTGTTCATTTGAGCACATCATGCAAAAACGTATAATAATCGTTATTGTATGTTTGGTGCAAACACAGTTTCAAAGTCTATAAAATTGATTGAATTGGCGTTAAACAATGTTGTCGTGCCTTGAGCAAGACAAATCCATATATTGCAGATCAGTTTTTTACAACTTTATTTTTTCTTGATTTGATTTATTTGTTATCACCTGACATAGGAAAGGCCTCTCCATGTTTCTCTTGGTAACGGTTCGTGATTTCAGGGAAAAGTTCTTCAATATAAAATTTTTGATAAGCCCCTTGGCGTTCCTTAGCCTCCTGAAGCCAAAAACAATGATTTGCGATTAGTCAAGCATTTAAGGCACTTTTCTTAATAAAGTTGTATTTCCTGAAAACATACCCAATCGTTCGAAAAGCTGCAAAAGTACATACATGAGACATTAAAATAAATGATCTTGAGTCAGTATTGTGGGGCAAATGAGTAGGGCCTCCGTTTTAGAGAGGTCAAATCTCATTATCAGTCATTCAGTTTTTTTTTTTCCGTTTCTGATTGGCTCAACGTGCCGTGCCGTGCCGTGCCGAACGTAATTCTTAAATTACGTTTGACAAAAGCAGGGCAGAAGCACAAGTCTCTAATTACCAATTACACTTAACTTGAGTTCGGCACAGTAGAAACACGACGAATGAACTGACCCTAATTCTTCATAACCAGGTAGCTTTGACCAAATTCGGAAGACATTTGCGACATCCGATAAAACGACATCAGTAGTAAAGGCTATTGGCAGAAAAAGTGACGACAACCGAGAAGCCCTGGGAACGAGGGCGTGTTAGCTGAGCTGGGGCCTGTTTCTCGAAAGGACCGGAAACATTTCGGGCCCGAAAAAATCAGAACCTTTTGAATAATAGCAAAGTTCCTAGCTCACAAACCAGTCATGCAATTTTGATTTGTTAACTGATAGTTTCAGAATTACCGAAACTTTGATCTTGAATGCAAACACGGCAAACAGGAAACAGTTTTCCTAGCCCGAAAAGCTATCGCGATTTTCGAGAAACGGGCCCCTGGTTCGGTGGAGCTGGAGAAAATGGTGGAAAGGTTCGTAGACTTCTCACGTTTTACGAAGAAGAAATAGCAAGAAACGGAAACTACAACTCGAAGGGTGACAACTGCTAATTGAAGAAGATCTGCTAGCCAAAGGAAATCTCCTTTTATTTGAATTTGCTTCCTACCCCTCCCCTAAGCTAACATTTTGCCCTAAGAGAGAAGTAAGTGTGAATATTGGCTTAGGGGAGGGGTAGGTGGACAGTTTCATGATGCCGAGTAACAGGCAAATGAAGACGGAAACTAACCGATCAAGGGTTAGCATGTCTTATAATAAATGAATATAATAAAGCAATAGTGCATGGATTCGGCTTTCATATAGTCTCAACAATTATGCGGGCAGAGGTGGATTACACCCTTCCGATCTGCATGAGTTCGAATAATTCTTCAGATCATACCCAATAATTGGTAATTAACAAAAGGTGGTCTTCATGAATGAAATGAGATGAAACTGATATGTTTTCGGTAACGGTAGGTATAACAAGTTTGTCATGTTAAGGCCTTTGTGCAATAATTATCAGTTGGGGGGTCTTACAACGAAAGGGGCGAAAAGACTGTGAAGACGTAATACACTCAGAGAGGGGAGAAATGTCTAAATTATTCACCTTGGGGGCGAGATATCTTATTTTCCACACTAGACAAGACGTCGTAAGTATATAGAACATTAATTAATATTAGTGAGGGAGAGGAATAGGATGACATCGTGTATATACATATTCGTTAGCTAAGACTGATTCCGGGTTAGGAAATTATCTGCAGCTAGCCTCTCCTAACCTCTGCTCGGCTGTCTCCGTACTTCTTGATATAACAGCGAGAGATAGGGAAGGTGATGATGTTGAAAGGAACAACAATGGGATGAAATCTTCTATATTCATCAGCGACTACTGCGCGAGAAAATTTCCATTCCACATCTGCGTTAATCTAAAAACAAACATAACCAAAAAGAAATGTTCCCTGATTAAAACATTCCGTCAATCCCGTATTCCATAAACCGTTTAAAGAATTTTATCCTGGGAAACGCAACATCATATGTTTTAAAGAGTGCATATTAGGGGACCCAGATGCTTTAATTATCTCCTGTGGGTGTCAAGTCAATAAAAATAGACATATTTGATTGTTTTTTCGCCGTCTTGCTTTCACTCTTCCAAGTAACTCTCAGTTCTTTTAAGGTCTTAGAGGGTCTTTGTCACAAGGATCTTATAACTACTGTTTTAAGTAAAATCTGCTCTTTGTCATCGGCTGCAATAAAGAGCAGGAAACAGTTCTAGTGCCTGCTGAACCACTATTTTTGGAATTCGATTGGTTGGAAAATAGTCTTTAGTTAGCTTTTTATTGACAAGATTGCAAAAAGCGAGACATAGTCCCTTTAAAATAACATTCACAGTCGAATCTCCCAACGTAGAGTCCACAATTTCTGTGTCCTGTTCAATGGCAAAATTCCTCCTTATCTCACTTCTAATTTTTTCTGAAACAGCAGTATAGGACGAACATGGACAAACCGAATTTTAAAACCTTTTTCGCGGAGGAATACATTAAAGATAGGGTCCTATAAACGCCCGTGAAGTCATGCGGTGGAATCTCATTAATATGAGGTCATGTGTTATTTTTAGGTGGATTAACCCGTTGGGAAGATTTTCTAGTTATTTCTGGATCAAATAATTAAGGTTCTGCTTCATGAGTAGTTGATGGGTTTTTAATGAATTAATGAGATTCCACGCGTAAAAAGGTTAATTCGGCACGCCCTATACCACTTATCAGCACAGGCTAAACGCAGATACCGAACACCCCTTGGAGGAACAACAGAGACAGCAATAGCCAGCAAAGCCTGTACAATAAAAGTTACTTAATCAAAAGTTACGGCAAGGTTATTTACCTCCACTTTATTGTAGGTGTTGGTCAACAAAGCGACCAGCATGTTGATCAGCATAACGACGGACAAAACCAGAAACATTACAAAGAGGATACCAACGACTGTATTTGACCAGATGTCATGGGATTCCAGTGTCTCCAGATTCGTCAGGCCAAAGACGGACCATATAAGATGGGTAGATGCTTCAAATAAGCTATGCAATAAAAATAGCACTGATAAAATATGTTGAAATTGTCAGGGAACTAGTACTTCAGCGGTATTAACCCTTTTTATTGGATGGGTTACTGACATGCATCGTTTAAGAAAGACAACATTATAACCATAGGAAAGAGGATTTAGGCAAATGCATACTTTCTTTCTATTTTCATTATAGAATTTCTGCAGTTGGTCTTTCGTCCATCGGTCATTCTATATATTTCCACACTGGCTGACAATTACGCAAGTTTTCAGGAAATAACTTATCAACTGATTTTAACAGTGATAGGTTAACTGTTATCATATTAAAAGGAACATCAGTGCTAAGATACACGAAGAGGTAAAAAGGAAATGCCAGTTACTGGAAGATACTTAACGTTCATTTTTTAAGCATTTTTTTTTCAGGTGAATAAAGGCAAGCGGGGCAGGATTAAAACTAAAATGCATCTCCTGATCTGCGGGTCAATGAATTCATTCCAGAGGCCTTTAAAAAGCTTAGGTCTAAACTCGGCAAGACGTTTTGTGTATTTTTTATCACGTGAGTAAAGAACTTACCAAGACGAGGACCCAGTCGCACAAAAGCTAAAAAGAAAATAAGTTTAGAAAGAATAAGTTAATAACATAAAATAAAATAACTAGTGAAGATACACATCTGTTAATTTCCGGTTAAAAAAAGAACTAGCTAAAAGCAGCGACAGAAAAAAAGGAAAAAATAAACATGCGCTAGCCTCACCTTTCAACCTGGGTCCGGTTGCTTTCCTCCTCTCGCGCTGGCGTCAAATAAGACATCTCGGCGGTGTAGATCATTGTGATGGCAACAGAAAAAGCCAAAATTACAAACAAAAACTGAACTAAAATGATCATAAGGTCGACGATCATTCTGAACAAAGCCAACTGAAGTGGTCCAACCGCTTTGTTTATTTCCAGTACGCTTGAAAACCTCAAGACTAGGAGCAGAGTGTTTACACCGTAGAGATAGTTAATCGCCTCCAGTAGTCTGTTATGGTACGGATCTCCACCTTTAATGATGGACGCAACTCTGAGGACAAATATGATAGCGTGACAGGAGAGGGTAATGACATCCACATAGTTCCACATATTTCTGGAGAAGAAAGACAAGACTCAGAAGTATTTCGTAAAGAACAACTTCAAAAATAAGTAGTATTTTATCATAAGCAAAGTGAAAATTTCACGGTAAGTCGGGCGTCATGCATCAGTCATTTCGAGCTGCGCCCAGCTCCCGCCCCCCCCCCCCTTCCCTTCGCCGGGCTACCGCGGGGCATTTTCCCGCCTTTTTAGTCCAGGGGGTGGTGCATTTGCAAATTTTGCGCTGCCCGGGGACCGGGCATTTGCCAACCCCGGGGCTATTTCCGAGCTTTTGACACGCACGCGGTTTCCTATCAGAATATAACCACACAGAGGATATTACTGAAAAAAAAAGCAGATTGGCTCATCTGTCAAGGACAGGGGTTGAAAAGGCATGCTCTCGATTTAATGCATGCATTTCTTCATTGCTTATCATGTCAGAATGACATAGAGAAAATCGGTAGCTATCGACGTGAATCAACGTTTTTTGGTTAGTGAATTAAATTTCTGTTAATATTATTTAAAGAACATCCTTTCATATTTATAATATAACCTATTCATAACATATAACTTCACAGCGCTCGATTAATTTTAATGTCAATAATTTTATATCAACACTAAAACCATAAACTGGTACATGTCGTCGCGGCGTGAAGTCTTAATTAGAATTCTAGCGCTATTACAAAGGAAGACGTTACTTGAAACAAAAACTCGCACATTTAAATGCTTAAAACGGCACTATTCGACTGTGCAATCAATGAAATATGTTGCAGTGTTGACGGAGGACGGGGCATTTGCCCTCTTTTTTGGTCCCCACCCCAGGAATTTTCCATCCAAGGCAAAAAAATGGTAATGCTTGGGGGGGGGAGTCTGGGGCACCTGGAATTGACTGATGCATGCATTAACAGTACAAGAGAAAACAAAAACTACCTTTCGATCAACAAAACATGGAAAGCAAAATGTCATAAACTATATAATACGTAATCTTCATAATTAATTTAAAGCACAAATGTTGGACTCATCACTCTTAGACCTCTTATAATTGAAGTGAAAACTGTTTTTTATTTTTTACTTTTTCAGAATAATATATTTATTTGTATTGCTGAAGAACAGTTAGATGTCTAGATGATCTGACAGAGGATGCGCAAAAATGCTAATCCAAATCTCCCTCTAACGACCCCTGTAGCTTCAGAAGAGATAATAGTTTTGAGCTAAAAAACCGTATGCTTTTAACCCTTTGATCTGCTGTCATACATAATTTTTTTTCAGGTTTGTGACAACTGCTGAATATTTGGACCTCTTATGAAAGTTCTTTTCAAACTTACGCTCAGTTGGGGAGCCCAAGCGTCATTGGAAGATAGTCAGAGTCAGACCGATGAACACTGTCGTAATAAGCTTCTCTGACTCGCAATTAATAGACATTCTGTCATAGACCATTATCAGTTAAGTCTGAGGAAGGGTTATACGGGAAAGTTAGTTATTTGATTACAGGTCTTAGCCTTGCCATCTTACCGCAAATAAACTTTGGATTCAGACGTATGATATTGTTGAAACTCAGAGATCAACAATCCGATGCAAAATACAAGAATGAGATATTCCTCGGTTCTTGGTGATACAGAAGACGCCAATACACATATTCTGATGTGTAAAGCTATGAACACTGTTTGTTGTAGTTTGTCCTTTAAAAAGATGACGAAGGGGGTTCTTAAGTAGTCCAGGTACTTATCTGCAAGACAAACGTGATAAGTTGAAACGTCGAACACAGCATTTCGACATCGTGGCCAATTCTGCGTTTACATATCATTACTTAGGTACTTACGTTCTGGATTCATAAATATTTCCAGATTTAAGTACATATAGGGTATTAAGGATTTAAAGGCGCCAAAAACATATTCGGATATGTTTATAGAGACGATGTTGCTTAACGTTTGGTCAATAGGGAGTTTTATGGTAACCCTATTCAGACCGGGGGGCTTTTGGAGCCCTCTTCCCTCGACGAAAAAAGTTGAATAACTTCAAACCCGTTTAAGCTATGACCACCAAACATAGCGAATTTTCCTAAAAATTATCTGGAAACAGTTAAAGTCGTTTTGATATGTACATCAAAATTGAAGTTGCCATGGAAACTGCGTTTTGACACTCAAGTTTTTCAAAATTTGTTTTTTCCCATCTTAACTGTTAGCGCAATCCAGACATTTTAGCGACTGATGTAGACGCAAAATGACGAATTGTACTTTTTGTTATGACGTCAAGATATGTCATCGTGTTAGTCAAGTTTTGTTTAAATATTGGAAATAATGAGTACATTACTCTGTGTAATTTTGGTGGACGTATCGTAAGCAGTTGTGAAGTTTTAGAGGGGAGCTCCCTCCTGTCGCAGCAAGCGAAAAAAGCCCGGTCCGCGGAATAAGGTTACGACACCACGACGGCGTCGTAGTATCGTAAACGTCGCCTAAAAAGTGAACTTACGTTATTTCAATTTTCATCGCGGTTCCGTTTTCCAACTAACTTTCTTTGTCAAATGAAGGCAAACTCTCCTAGAATTAAATTCCTAAGAACTATAACCAAGTGCATAAAAGAGAGAAAATGTTGTCGTCCGTTTGTTTATGCCCACCATAAATTGCTTCTGTGACGTTCTCGTTGCTTCCGCTGTCTTAAGTTCCGAGGACGGCGTAGCTGCGGCATCTTCATTGCGATTATTCCAACTTAGTTACTTTGTCAAGTGTAGGAAAGCTCCGACTCCTAAAGTGGAACTCCCAAGATATGATATCCGAGTTCAGAAAAAGAAAGAACATTTCCTCTCGGCTTGTTCACCGTGGGCGTATAGGACGCAAAAAATTGCGAGGTAGAAACTACTTTCCCATTTTTTATTCGTTTGAGCTCGAACTTTGCTGGAAGTGTACAAATGTGAAAAATTGTTTGGAAAAGCTGAATTGCTTTAGGAGATATAGCATCTTGAAATGTACTTATGTTTCTAAAACTAGTAGCAAAATGGCGGGAGATTCAAAAATCAAAGCTTAATAACTCTTTAATCAATTGAGCTTTTCAAAAAAATTTTTTCACATTATTGTTTCTATCACGCTTGTCACGCTCCTTCAAAATTATTTATTTGTTTTGACATATTTTGAAATTTATATTTTGCTCTCAATCATGTGACGTCATCTTCAAGCCAAAAAACGTTAAAATCGAAAAACAAAAAACATAAGATTTGTTTGGAATACAAAGTTATACCATCCTGCAAAGTTTGAGCTCAAACGAATTAAAAAATGCAAAAGTAGTTCCTACCTCGCAATTTTTTGCGTCCTATACGCCCACCGTGGTTTACGTCCTCCCTTACAGAGAAAAATTAGCCTCTTTCACGTCGTAGTCTTAGTGATGGCAAAGAATTGTACAAAAAAGTGTGATGAACACAGAGTTGGTGTTTTGTTTATCAAACCTCCGCTTTTTTGATGTTCTCTTTGCCATCGCCGTCGTCGGATCGTGACTCTCTGATAAACTTCTTTTACAAGGAGACAATGCCTGCATGCAACCGGACGTTCTAGGTTCACAGTCCCTTTGAACACTTGCACGAAAATTTCTCACGACTGACTCGCTTATTAGCTAACTGCCTATTTGGCTTCTGCCAGTTAGGGTGTTGAGAACTTCTATTTGTTTCTACTAATTATATTAGTGGAGTGCTTGTAAAGAAACTAAATGCAGCTTAATGTACTTCTATCGGTAACTAACCTCTTAATGTTTTTTTGTTCCGTTTAACCCCTTCACGAGTCAGACAGGTTACCTGGTCCTTGTAGAAGGCATATGCGATAAGTGGAAGAAACACAGGAGTCAAAATAGTGTCGAGTATGGTAAATACATATGCCAGAAACCTCAATTTTTTCCCTGGTTGACAGTCAGGTAGCAAACCATAGTTCCACCTTTGGTTCAGCAGTCTGTAAGCCACTGGATGGGATACAAACTAGGGAAAAATAAAAGCACGAAAAAGTTGAGTTGTTGGAAAGTAAAACGTGTTTGCTGTTATCACTACTTTCGAATTGAAATCTTGGACTCCTCCTGACTTTTGATACTTTTACTGTATTATTATTTCTTTCTTATTTCTTTCAGGTAATGTATCTCCGACACAGGCTTCGTTGACAGAGTGTTTTTCCTCTCTTTATCAGATTTTCATATTTTCCCGTGTTTTTTTTTTAGCTTTGAATTGTTATTCCGTAAGGCCTGTTGTCTGCAAATATTTATTTCCTTACAGACAGTAGGCTGATTTCCCAGTGGAGGGTTACTCTTGGTGGGGGTGCGCCACCCGGTTCTCCAAATCCTGACCCTATTTTCAGACCAAAAAAGTCATTTTCCACACCCCTTTTCAGACCTGGGGCCCGTTTCTCGAAAGTCCCGGTAACTTTTCGGGCCCGAAATCAAATATTGAAATCGAAATATAAAGAATAAGAGCACGGGTCCCGGCAAGTAAACTACTCCATTTTGTTTCATTAACTGATAGCTTTATCACGTTAGATACAAAACTATTGAAAACCTCGATCTTTAATGTAAACGGAGGCAGCTTACCGGGCCCGTTAATTATCGAGACTTTCGAGAAATGGGCCCCTGACCCCTAAATTCCATATCCGTCTTCCGACCTGGAGGACTCACAACATACACTTCCTTAATTAGGACACAATTATGTCATCATAACAGGAGTCCATAACCTTTCAATAATAAATCACATATTACCCTTTCTTTCTTATTCATTTGGAATGGAAACAACAAATAAGTTCATGCACTCCCGTCGTTCCTTTGAAAACCATGCCCGATTCCAGACCAGAATAGGCAAATTCTATTTACAATGTACCCGTTTTCAGATCAAACGGCGCAAAAATCATACCCTGAAAATCTCAATATTTGTCAACACCTTGCGATATTCTGTGCCTCAGAAAATATATAAAAACTTTGTTGCGTAATAGCACTGTTGATAGCAACTTTTGTTGAACGTTTAAATCCAGCAGCCATATCATTATAAAGTTTGTGTACCTTTTTCTGCGAAAAGCGAATAGCTGATAAGGTAATACTATCAAGTAAAGATGCACATGGGTCCATATCACTGATTTCCTCGTGCCCAATTGAGATTTTCTCTTTCATGTAGATTTGATCCAGAAGCGTAACAGAGAAGTCCTCAACCTGCTCTGCTAGCGTAGTAAAAAATACTGCATTTTGGCCTCGATTGTAGGAGAGTTCCCTAAGTTTCGTTGAAACCTGCACGGAGAGTAATAAAAAAGGGTGTCCGACATTAGGCTGTGAAAGCGAATTTTGGATTCCCCTGAACACCGTTGGTCGGCCTTGTAGATGATGGACGGTAGTGAATCCGGCCTAAATGAGTGAAAATATTTTGTTATTTCAAACGGATACAACACCTTCCAACAACATTGGATCAATGATGTTTTGAACCAACATGCTTGATCTTGAATACGGAAATGATTATGATGTGTATGAATATCGTGCCCCAAAATAATTCTTGTTGTTGCTGATTTTTTTTGCTGTACAAACGGTGAGAAAATGGTTGAGACAGATTCATCCAACTGAAGGGTATATTTTTAATTACAGTGCTATACAACACTGCGCCTTTGCCCCTACCTGGTTGCCTGGTTAATTGATTCCCACAGGTCTTAATTCTTCCGAAAGGAGGTGTACATGTGCGAAGGAAGGCCGTTTGAAGAGAATCACCTTCGCTGATTTTTTAAACGTTTTCTCGTAGAAAATAGAAAAAGATAGCCGTAGGTGGGTTTTCTGCTCAAACTAGTGTCTCACCATGATTTTTTGCTCTCAAAATATCTTCCCTGCCAAATCAATTGTAAGCGTCTATATAAGAGGAATGATACTGGTACAGACTAACCTCAAAAGCTGTTGTAACTGGATTTTCACATTGGCACAAATTATTGGCGGTGAAAGCCTCTTCTATTTTGTCTACAGATGCGTCATCAATGTCCTTTAGAATGTGTCTAATTTTCAGCTCGGCTGCAATGTTATAACAAAAAATTTTCCTGCAGATTAGCGCACCTAAGGATGAATTCGCTTAACCAAGAAAAGTATTGATAAGACTCCAGCCATTTCAACAAAGAACGATTTTGCTGATAGCCCGGGGGGTTCTAACGCGTATGTACCGCCAAACAGGGAATTGGTTTTTTAAAAGGTCTCGGTCTCCAAATTAAGAGGCATGCAATTTCCTTACTTAGCGTCTTAAAGTGCCCATCACCTAAATTTTTTTTATTTTTTTATCTGAAACTATACGTTATTAAAATAACTTCTGCGAAAAAAGTTTGCGGTTTGAACAAAACGCGATTTTTTTACCAATTTTTGAAGTCTACATTTTTGCGGTACACTCGCGCCGCTGATCATGCAAACTAGCAAGCTCACATATGACGTCATGTGATGTAAATTAAGGAACTCGCATTACCTTGCCTTCACCAGCTGTACACAAAAAAGATAAATTTCAAGTAAGGACTGAATCACAATGTCTTCGTAAGAAGAAAGTTTATCAGAACTCTTAATGTTTTCCAGTCGATAAGGTCACGTGTTCCTTAAAGAACGTCATAGTCCGAGAGAAGACTAAGACGAATGGTGTGTCAAGATGGCGGCAAATTTGAACGTTTTTAAAAAATTCTAAAAAAATCGTCTTTGGTTCAAATCGCAAAATTTTTTCCCAGAAGTTATTTTGATAAGTTGTAGTTTCAGATAAGAAAATAAAAAATTTTAGGTGATGGGCACTTTAAACAGGGCATCTTTCTAGACCCAATGCCTTGAACAGGGTTTGAATCTTTAAGGTAGCAAGAGTCTAAATGCTGTGTAGTGTGATCAGTGTTTATCACTGAAAAAGCTCCTTAACTCCAGATTAAAGAAACAAAGGAGATGTTCTTTCACCAAGCGTTATGGAGTATTTGGGCACACAGAAGAGGTCTCTTGTATTAAAGAAATGAAAGGAGAGGATTTGTTGGCCTCCACGGCACACCCTTCCATAAATTTCCGTTATGTCCTTCCTCAGCCGGCCTGACACCTAGAATTTTTTTCGCCAAAAAATTAACTGACATTTAACAAAATGAAAAATTAAAATACCTTCATTTAATACACAAACTGACTTAATTGATAAAATATTTTCAATTGACTTTTCGACTTTTCAGTTTTGAAATATTAGGAGTGGTATTTATGCCAAATATCACGTACCTATCATGGTATCATTTGTTTATACTACTTAACCCGTAAAGGTTTATTTGTAATTATCACATGTAGGTATTTCAAATTAAGCTGAAATACCACTACTCTATAGCCAATCACTATTGCAGAAATTTCTCATGTAGTAGTACAATTACATTTATAATATAGGGCAAGAAATTTCTAAGATTTGATTGGTTAGTAATGGTGGTATTTCTGCGTAATAGAGGTATAACACACAAAAAACGATGTTATAACGAAGTAACCATGACGACAGCATAGTCGCGCATCTTTGTTTTTTTGTTTGCAAAAAAATGGGGGCCAGGTTCCTAGAAATTTCCGGGGACGAAATGCAACAGCTCGCCGGAAAATCCGTCAACAGAAATACAATCAAAACTACGAAGACTTGGATCAAAGTTTGGAAGAAGTGGGCGACAACCATGGGATTTTAAAATACAATGCCAAAGAACTGAACGAGCGTCTCTCGTGATTTTTTGCCGAAATTCGCAAAAGTGACCGCTCTGAGTATAAGCAGGATAGTCTAAGGGTCATGTTGGCTGCTCTCAACAGACACCAGAGACAAAATGAAAGTAAAATCTCTATAGCCAAGGAGAGAGAATTAATTGTGTGCAGACAAGTCCTCGGAGGGAAAATCAAGTCAGAGCTATTCGCGAGAAACACTACGGAAAACGACCAAATGCAACAAAAGCTTCGCGGCTCGTGGTATTTTAGACAGTTTTGAAATATTACTAGCGGTATTATTGCCAAATACCAGTACAGCTCATACTATTACCTATATAAATTATAATCATCTAGCACTGAGAAGTTTTTTCCTTATGGCTATCATCATTTATGAATATTTACCTTCACTCATGTTAGTTCCATCTGTATCTTCTATGGCTAACAATGACAAGAACAACAACATCATCATCACTGGCGACCTTTAGCCAATCACTAGTAGTTACGACATAATCTTCTCACCAGCTCATTACTCATGTATTTAAGGTGTTTCGATATAATACTTTTTAAAAACCAAACCGATATTTTTCAATCACTTTAAAAGTGATTTTATCCTTGTCTGATCGCTATAAAATTTTCACCAATAATTAACTATAAATTGAAATTTTTCAAAATGTGGGTTTTAGTAAAATCAATATTACTATGAAAACAATAAACAAAATTTTGAAATTTAAAAAAAACGCCTAATTTTGCGCGATCTAGACTAGCCTGTTGCAGGCTCCGAGATAGTCGGGTCCGCTGAATTGAGAAAGCGCGAAGACAAAAATAAAACGGGAAGAAACTGGGGAGAGGGGGATCGACAGAGCCTATAATCATTTCTTTAAACGACCCGTTCCGGTATACCAGCTCCTGGTATACCCTCTGATTGGTCAAATTTGACAGATTATATCAACACTCTCAAAGCGGGTCGTTCCTGTCACTCACTAAGATAGCGTGCGGCGTATTATATTATTTAGATGCTAGGCATTTCCTTACGTGTAATGTATTTTTAGTTTTCTTTTTATTACACTGCATGTAATTATAACTAACCGTTAGAGTAAAACTACCTTCTGTTACTATAACTATTCTAAATAATAATAGCCTAGGAGTAAATTATATTAAATTGATGTTTTGGACTCGCCAATAACAACCAATTTTATTTTTCAAACTGTAGAGTTCCATATATCTTTAACCAAATAATGCACCTTACAAGTAACGGTACTTTTTCAACTTTCCTAAGGGTTTCCCTGTTTCTCGTGCGTAATGTGTGACCTTCAGATAACACCGATCTGTCATGCATATAATTTATTCTGTTTTTGTAATTTTTTTTTTTTTGATTTAGCAAATTGGTTGGAGTCTTCAACAAAACATTCGAGATAGAATTCAAACCTTCATCGTGATGATCATCCTTTCGTGGACGAAAATACTTTCGCCAAAACCTGGGGAAGTATATTCCAGCATCTTCAGCACCTGTTGTTGGGATGGAAGTAAGGCCTATATAAGCGTATACTTAAACGTTTCAGTGACATGTTATACTCACATAAAAGAACACTCTTGAGAGCGCATGCACCGCAGACAACTTGAACCAGAACCTTTCAAAGCACATACCAGTCCCTGAGGAAGTCATACCCATTTTTGATTCGTGATAAAAGCAATATCTACGTTTTCAGACAATCTGCAGAGTTGAAGTGCACTTTTGTAAGCTAAGATCGTAGCAAACAGCGCTTTTAAACCGGAATAGTTGGTATTTCGCCTTTAAAATACTGTGAAAATAGCATGTTTAAATCCTGATTGAAAGAATTTCATTATGTCCTTTATTTTAAATCACCTTTAAAGTTGAACTGGCCTCTTGAAAGTGCGTTAAACATATTTTAAGTATACTATTTGAGAACTGTTTAAAGTCGTGGTAGTGGAGTTCCTTTCAAAATACTGTTTAAACTCTCTAGTTAAAACCTATTTTTGTATTTTACTTGTAAAAACTACATATTAAATCCCTGATTAAGAGTTATTCTTTTTAAATCAAAGTTTAATTATGGTATTTGAAAAAGGTTTTGAGTACTCGTCAGTACCCTTGTTCTAAAAATATGGTTTAAGTATTCTGTTTAAAATGTAGTTTTAATAAAAAATGTGTTTCAGATACAGGGAAAACCTTTTAAATTATACAAATAGTATTCAAATAGATCTCAAATACATTTTAAACTCCCATGACTATTTTGATTTTATTCGTAAAATACAACTGATAAAAAGAGCCCAAATTGAGGTAAAAATAGTGACTGTCTTAAATCATTCATGACAAATACATCTTAACTAGTTTTCAAACAGTTTCAAAATACAGTTTGTTTGTTTATGAGGGCTTTTAAGAGGCTGTTATCATCTAATCAGCCCAACTAGTTTCAATTAGCTTCTACTATTCTGTGAGTTTTTGTATGGTCTGTCAGGATCAGGCAGTTCATTTATTATTCTGTTTTTGTAATTTTTTGTTTTGAGTTAACAAATAAATGGTTGGTTGAAATATTCAACAAAACAGTCGAGATAGAACTGACCTTCATCCTGGTGATACGCATCCTCTCGTGAATGAACATGCTTTCGCCATAAACCACGGAAGCTTACAGCGTCTTCAGCACCTGTTGTTGGGATGTAAGTAAGGCCTATATAAGCGTTGTTTCACTTCTTCGAATAAACAAAGCTTTAAGACAGGGTGAGCCGAGCTTGAATTTATTTGTTTGAATAGTTGAACCTCCTTAGAGCAACCACCACTAGTAAGTGGCTAGCAGACGTTTTGTCAATTAGTTTGGCTTTACTCTGAGAGTTAAGCTACGTGCAAACGGACTCAACAACTCCCAACATTGTTGGCCCAACAAAGCTGACAGAACCTCACCGCAATATTTCAAGGAAAAACTACTTGATTGTTGCAATACTCTATATTTTATATAGTTTTGTTCGTTCTATTGAGTTGTCTCTTGTCCTAAAAACACTAGAGAAGCCTCGAAAGGAGTTCAGAATAAAATGACGCTTTCTAATTTTAATTTCCCTAGGAAACCCTATTTATAATCGGCGTCTCAATCAATTCAGCCGATCTAAATAACTTGGGTTGGCCTCAATTCGAATTCAGGGTTTGGCCCATGAAAAGTTCGGCTTCTGAACCGGGTCTCAGAAGCAGTTAGACCATGCAGCTTTTCTTGTTACATTACCTTCTTGAGTCCTCTTGGCGCCGTTTCTTGACTTAGTGATGACGTTCTCCTCGTCTTCGCTTGCTTCTTGCAATTCATTCATTGGTAAAACATTCATTAGGACGTACGTACCTTTAAAGGTAATGTGCAAAATGTCTGCTAA